TTATTTTTTAAATATTTAAAACAGCTGAAGCATATCTATATACATACAGAATGCTGCATCAAACAAATCTGTAAAGGAAAAAAAAAAAGTAAATAATTAATCAACTTAATCATCCATAGTCAATTAGGACGTTCCAATTCACCAATTGCAAGGGTTCCACCAGTAGTGGGCACTCCTGCAGTGTAATCACTGACGTACATCTGAGACATAGGGAAGTTAGTGAGAGAACAGCATAAAAAAACAAAGTGGAATGCAACCCTAGTCAGTTGAGTAAATGATTCCAATGACTCGCTCATAAAGAGTCACTTGTTGCCACCTACTGGCATTTAAGTGTAAACTGCAGAAAGAGTACATTTGAAATCCTCACAAAATGTAATATAATATAATATATTATGTGACCCTGGACCACAAAACCAGTCTTAAGTCGCACGGGTATATTTGTAGCAATATCCAACAATACATTGTATGGGTCAAAATCATCGATTTTTCTTTTTTGCCAAAAATCATTAGGATATTAAGTAAAGATCATGTTCCTTGAAGATATTTTGTACATTTCCTACTGTAAATATATCAAAACTTCATACATTTTTGTAAATATATCACACACACATATAAAAATTAGTAATATGCATTGCTAAGGACTTTATTTGGACAACTTTAAAGGCAATTTTCTCAATATTTTGATTTTTTTGCACCCTCAGATTCCAGATTTTCAAATAGTTGTATTTCAGCCATATATTGTCCTATCATAACAAACCATACATCAATGGAAAGCTTATTTATTCAACTCATATCTTTATTTCTCATGTCTCTTTAGGTTCAAGTGACACAGATGATGATGAAGACACTTCCACGGTAATTGTGCGGTACCCAGAATTCAAAGAAGGGTCTACTCAGCAGCCTGTCTACAGCAGCAGCCCCAGCTCAGAGTCCTCCATTTCCAAAGAGATGGACAAAATCAGCATAGACAAATTCATTGATTCAGAGCCAGAACCAGAGGTGCGGTAGCTCACTCATTTCAGTCATACTGATTCTGACACTATCAAAGCTTTTGCTGACTCCCGCTGCTCCGAAAACCTGCACAGCCTGCAAAACTGTGACAACTTGTGATACTTTTGATATTGCCGCTTTTTGATGCTTACACTGACCTGCTGTCTCTCACAGTTTTACTGAACATTACTATTATGTTGGATCCTTCAATCTTGTTATTGAATCTCTTCACTTTTTCCGACACTATCTACAAGCTCAACTGTTTTTTGTGTCAGCAATTTCGATGTTAAGCTGTCTTTCTCTCTCTGGCTCTCTCTCTGTTTTTTAGATCTCTGGCTATCAGACAGAAAAGCCCCAGGTCACTGTTGAAGCCACCAGCTCACCGAGTGTTGCACAAGATGCTGACCTGCTTCATGAGGTTCGCACAGAAAGTCTCTTCCAAAGGACAGAAGTGCTGGCAGGTATGTTCAAAATGAACAACGTACAAGAGTGTTTCTTCAATTAGGGGAACTTTTTAGTCCCCTGTTAAGATTTTAAAGGGAAAAAAATGCTTTAAAAATGTAATTTCTTTTTTTTTATTACTTTTTCATGTTGTGGAGTATTTAAAAGTTAATTTGCTATAGGGTCTCTATTTAGGCCAGACCTTTTAAGATATTTACAAATCAAGAAAATTCTACTTTGTACATTTTTTTTAGTTTTAAAGTTTTAGTATTATTTTTTTTATTTATTTAATATTTATGTGTACAATTTTACAATTTTTAACAAAAAATTATGCCAAACATTTTACAGAACAATTGTTTTTTTGTTTGTTTTTTCCAAAATAAGTTTACATTTGGTTATGATGGAAATGATAATTGATGAGGTGCATATTTCTGCAAAAGCAGCAGAGTGCCAGTTTAAAGACTAGAAATATACTTAACTGAAAATGTTCACATTTACATAATTAAAATTCATAAATATTGACCAATTTGGTAAATAATTGGTTTCTTTTGATTTATTTTTTTAATGGACTACTAGTTTACTTGTTGTGTTAGAAAGTTCAAGGCATATCCATTTTGTGTGTGTGTGTGTGTGTGTATGTGTGTGTGTAAAATAATAATAATATATTTTTTTTAAAATTATTTTTTATTTTTAAATATCAAATAGAATAAAACATAATTACAAGATATTCAAGGTTGATCAAGGACAAAATCAAATCATTATCCCAGTGCTTAAATAAAGATTTTTCTCAAAATTACACATGATTTTTTATTAATTTTTTAATAAATTCTATAAGCTGACAAACCATTGTTGTCTCTGTGTCAAATTTCTCTAATATTTTATTTCATTTGCATCTGTAAGTTTTCGTTGAAGCATTTGAATATGATGTGCACTTGAACATGATTTTAGATATTATTTCAAACCATATGAATTTTTATGATATGGTGTCATTTTTCTTGGTGCAGCGGTTATAGCCGGCGGAGTGATTGGCTTCCTGTTTGCCATCTTCCTCATCCTCCTTCTGGTGTACCGTATGAGAAAGAAGGACGAGGGGAGCTACGACCTTGGAGAGCGCAAGCATCCCAGCTCAGCCTATCAGAAGGCTCCGAGTAAAGAGTTCTACGCCTGAACGACAAATCATTGCCAACAGTAACATCGTTATAACAACCAACTCCTCTCCAAGAGTAATGGTGAATCCCATCGAGGGGATTTTTTTTTTTTTTTTTTTTTACGGGGAACCTTTACATATTTAAAAATGTAACAAAAAAGTAATTTTGCTTCACAAAGCCAACCGGGGCTTGTTATTTTCTTTTTTGGAATCAAAAACGTCAAAGATTGTTTCTCTATGGGTTTTGAAAACAGTTGTTGTCAGTGTATGAAGGTAAATCATTGCTCACAGGTTTTAGTCATTGACTACTTTGTAACAGTAGAAGAACGTTTTATTAAAGAGCAAGACAATTCCGGAATGTAAATCCTGGGTTATATCTGATACCTTTAATTTCCCACTGATTACATTTCAGTAACTTATCTCAGTGTGGATTTGATCAGTAACTTCATTTTCATCTCATCATTTTTGTAAAGGGGTTTTCTCCCTTGGCTTGTGCCATTCTGTTCTTCAGTCAGAATGAATGTGTGTACTTCCGTCTGGCCGATATCATTCAAAGATCACAAAATTATTGTTAAATTATAAATTAATGTAGTTGGTACAGTGTTAAGTCCCTAAAAGTTCAAATTCTACTTTGCCTGAAGCCAAGAACACATTGCTCTCTACTTGTACTACTTTATTCTCTCTCTTTTCATGTAAACACTCATGCAGGGTAAAGTGGGTAAACCATTCACCATTCATAGCACTGTAATTTACTTAAATTATTCAAATTACTTTAACCATTATGTAAGTTTGCATTGCACAAAAAAAGCGCATCAAGGTCAAGAATGTTTTGTTTTTTTCACAGAACTATTTGATACCCACTTACCCAATGCTTGGAAGAAAAAAAATTTTCATTAGAATAAGATATGGATTTTTTTTTTTTTACATGAATTCAGTCTTCATTATGAACAAGTGGAAGAGTCCAATAATGAATCTTCCATGACAAGTTAACATCATTTACCCAGTATAAGTCGTCAGTATTACTGATTTTTACGCCCACACTGTTCTCAATCAACACATTCCCAACGTTCACTGTTGACTGGAACCCTAATGAAGGCCATTTTTCTTTATTTCATAATATTATCCCTCATGCGGAAGCAGCTTTTGCAAAGATTTCTCCTATGTTTCTGACTCAAGCATATTCTGCTGAATGTCTCTGACCTTCCAAAGACTCAAACAGTGTTGTTAACAGTGATGGTGATTAATAACATGAATCACATCTGCTCATTTGTACTCTTCTTTTCATGTGTATTTCCATCGTTTCTTTTTAAAGACCTGACCATTTAGAGTCAATGACGTCTCTGTATATGTTAATATACAATAATTTATAGAATATAATTATTTATATACTACATATTATATGTAATATGTTAGTTAAAAACAATCTATGAAAATGTATATTCACAAATGTTTTAGAAGCCCTTGAAGTGCCTACTGTTCTGAAACAGTTCTACAGGGATTTGAGGACATTTGTGCATCGGAATGATGTTAAAAGCTGGAACTGGAGAAATGTGATGAGTGGTAATGTCACAGAAACAGTATTGTATTTCATAAAAAAACACTACTGAATAAACATTTTCTCATGGTATTTTAATTACGTTTCTTGTGCATCGACCTATGCACCTCTCTTTGGAGATTACTCTCAACTTGTTCAATCACTGTGTGTATGAATATGTACATAATGAATCAATATGCATGCCAAGTGGCTCTCAACTCTCTCTTTGGACCATCGAACACAAGCTGTGGTGGAAATGTAACACCTCCAATGAAGATTGCTCTGGGATTTGTCCATAGATGTTAAATCTCTGACAGGAAAATGTATTAAACGCACAAGTTGCCACAAAGGCTGTTTCTGAAAGAATCTCACACTTATTAGTCAGGACACCTGTCCACAAACTGCAGAAAAGATATGCATAAACATGTTTATAGTTTATTCATAAATGTGTTGGTTTTTGATGTTGTTTTAGTTTTGCCCAGTCATAATGTCAAATTTGATTTGGTTTTCGAAGCTGTAATATCAAACCAAACCATTTGGGAGGAATTGTATTGCAAAATAAATATAATAATAATAATTATATAGCAAAATTTCACAAAAGAGTCCAGTAGTTCATACTACTGTCGTTCGTTTATCTCATAAATGGTCGTAAAATAGTTGTCAAATATTAGGCTATTTAGCAAGAACAGAATTTGATTTGATTGGACATAATAATAATAATAATAATAATACATCTTATGGAAATGCCTATGGATTAAAAAAAAATTTTTCATCTTGGTTAGCCTAACACATTTAGCCTACACCCTGATCTATAAATTACATAAATATAAATACAGTAAACCGTTAATTTTTTAAACCGCCGTGTGTTTTTACAACGTAAATTGTTAACCATTTGCTTCATAAGAACTGCAACGGTTCGTGAAACATCGTTGTGAAAGGTGTCTCGTGTTGAATACTAAACGCGTTTTGTCTGATTGTCCCATGGAGCTTGCCGTAGCCACATGAGCGCCCAATGTTTTCAAGGTATGTACAGTGTACTTTCATTGTGAGTCATGCCGGTAAATTATTTATAATTTTGAATACATTGCTATTTAAATCACGCCTTTAAGTATTTTAATATATTTTCTCAAAAACCAAGAATAAGCCACTATGTCGTCTAATATCTTTTGCAAAATAGCAAACGGTTTGTTGCATTTTTAGATTTCGTAAAACCAGCTGTGCTTGAATGTACTGTATTATTATTATTAATACTGTATGTGCCAACATGAGCAAGTGATCAAATAAATGGCAGTAGCTTACATGTTTGGGCTTCAGTGTATAAAATGTTTTCATATCAAGAACGACCAGGAAAAAACAATGTTGAAAAAGTTGAAAACAGTTCCAGGAAACAATTTATGACCAGTTAAACTGCATTACTGCCATAACAGAAATGTGTGTGTGCGTGTATATATATATATATATATATATATATTAAAACATTATTTGAAGTAATATTTAACTATATGATAAATGCCAAATATTCCTCTTTTTTTTTAAAACAGAAATGTTTGACTTTTTTTCCCCTGTCATGTGCTTTTCAGATGACTGGCAGTAAAAGCAGGTGTCTAAACTCCATTAGTCAGGTGCTTCTGACACTTCTTATACTTCGCTGTCTACAGTGCCACTCCAGGCCTCACAGTTATAACAGTAAACCGCTTTCAGAAATATCCAAAGAGATTTTTAAGTACTCTGACATCGCTCAGCGAATCATAAACCTAGCAGTGTATGGCAAGGCTCAGAACCGTTCCTATGAGAGGCTGGCTGAGTTCACTGACACTGTTGGAAACAGAGTCAGTGGCTCTAAGAACCTAGACCTGGCCATTAAGTACATGTACAATGCCCTGACACGGGACGGACTGGAGAATGTGCATCTAGAGCAAGTGAAGATCCCTCACTGGGTGCGGGGGGAGGAGAGCGCGGTGATGCTTCTACCGAGAAACCACACTTTAGCCATACTTGGGCTTGGTAGTAGTGTTGGAACTCCTCCAGGAGGTTAGTAGTCACTATTCATCTTTTAAATACATGCACCTGCAAATATCTAACCAGCTTATATTCTTTTGGCAGGTATAGAGGCAGAGGTAATGGTGGTGGAGTCTTTTGAAGAGCTCAAAAAGAGAGCGAGTGAGGCTAAAGGGAAAATCGTTGTGTATAACCAGCCGTTTGTCAGCTATGGGGAGACCGTAGCCTATCGGGCTTCAGGGGCCTCAGAGGCTGCTAAGGTTGGAGCCGTGGCTTCACTTATCCGTTCAGTAACTCCATTCTCCATCAACAGGTCAGAACCATCACACTGTTGAATTAAAAGGACTGCTATTGTAAACTAAACTAAAACTGGCTATTAACAGAAATTTGAATATAAAGTTGTCAACAAAAGTGGAAAAAAAAAATTAGAAGTAGTCTTTAATGATGACACTCCAGAGATAATTTGTTTCTCAAAAAATAAATAAATAAATGTAAAAAAATAAATAAAGAAAAAATAAATACAATAAGTACATAAAAAAATTATAATGATAATGAAAAAAGAAAAAACACTACCAGAGTTTGGGATAATTACAATTTTACATGCATACATACATAAATAAATAAAAAAACACTACCAGTTTAACGTTTGGAATACGTTTTTAACAAAGTGTCTTATGCTCACCAAGGTTCCATTTATTTAATCTAAAATACAGTAAAACAGTAATATTGTGAAATATTATTACAGTTTAAAATACAGTTTTCTATTTTAATGGATTTTCAAATTTAAGTTATTCCTATGATGGCAAAGCTGAATTTTCAGCAGCCATTACTTCCAATCATCAGTGTCACATGATCCTTCAGAAATCATTCTAATATTTGGTGCTTTCTTATTATTATAAATGTTGAAACCAGTTGTGCTGTTAATATTTTGTGGAAAATGTGATACACTATCATTCAAAAGTTTGGGGTAAATAAGATTTAATTATAAAGTGTATATGTGACCCTGGACCACAAAACCAGTCTTAAGTGGCTGGGGTATATTTGTAGCAATAGCACAAAAAAATTGACCCTTATGACTGGTTTTGTGGTCCAGGGTCACATATAAGAATTAATGGTAACACTTTAGAATAGGGAACACTTACTCACTATTAACTATGACTTTTCCCTCAATAAATTCCTAATTTGCTGCTTATAAATAGTTAGTAAGGTAGTTGTTAAGTTTAGGTATTGGGTC